CGTTACGTGTCTGCTTGCACAGAAGCATGTCGCGATGTGAATCTCCCCATCCAATTCTTACTCGATGACACACATTTCGTGTGTTTTATGTGAGCAGTTCTGTTCGAACAGTTGGAGTAGAGAATATCGTAAGTTACTGCTAGCAAAACAATGCGAAATATGTAATTATTTTCGGTAATCCGGACACTTTTGGTAATCTGACACACCTTTGGTCCCATACCTGTCGGATTATCAAAAGACAACTGTATTGTATTAATCTTTAAAATATTGGTATTAAATCTGTCTTATAAAATCACGACGACTCCCGTAAATCGAGTTATCCGATAAGAATAAAATACAATACCAATATAGCACTATCGTTGAAAAAATTTGCTTATATTTGCTCACCTCGAGTTTTTCTTAGTAGAAATGGCTAAAAAGTGCGCAAAATATGTACGGAAATACAGTATTACAGCACCAACTGTATTGGACGACCACCTGTCTAAAAGACCATTTTTTGAAGGAACCGTGGGTGGTCGCCATAGACAGGTTTTACTGTATTTCATTTCTTCATATGTATGTACAGTAACAACGTGGTTATATTTAAAGAACAATCACATCACAGGTCGTAAGCAGAAACAATGATATTCTCTATTCTTCATTTCTTTTTTCTTCAAAATATACATTTCGGACTTAAGTTCCTTTTCAGTTGGAGTAAATACTATCATAGAAAAAACGTTTTTTTCATTATGTTATTTTATAAAAGAAATTATATATACAGTAATACCTCGACTTACGCGAACCCTGAGTTACGCGATTTTCAAATCTCGCCGATTCGTCTTTTGTTTGAGCACCACGCAACCCTTGATTACTCACTCCCCTCACACTATTGTTCAGCTTACATGTTCGGACGTGTCGCGCGGAATCGACGCATAGCTACAATTTATTTTGTGTTATTTATTTCTGTGTTTGTTTTATCTACGGAGACTCGAGAGACTCTACTATGTCATCCAAACGAAGTAGAACTGATTCTTCTGCATCAAACAAGAAAAGAAAAACTTTATCTTTGGAATGTAAAGTTAACATTAATAAAGACTTCGATACAAAAATGAAAATTTGTGAATTGGCAAAGAAGCTTGATCTACCGGAATCGACGGTCAGAACAATTATAAAAGGTAAAGAAAAAATTCTCGAAGCTGCGAAAAATGCTCAATCTTTAAATTCAAGCATCATTCGTAAACGTCACAGTATTATCGCTGAGATGGAAACAATGTAAAAAATATGGTGTGATAATCAATTGTGAAAAATTGTATAATAGTATATGTTATACATAAGTATTATCTAAGATTTTATTAAACATTTTTTTCTAAATTATTGCTTTTTTTAGTCTCCAACCCCAATTAAAAATTATTTGTATGTATTTATATGCGAAATTATACCCCGACTTACGCGGTTATCGCTCGGTCCCACCTATCGCGTAAGTTCGGGGTATTACTGTATTTAAAATAACAATTTACTTACATTATGCATGGAACGAATATTAACAAATGGTTTACATACTTCAACAATTAAAACATTTCTACAAACATCCGTTCGACTTCGTCCGCAAGTGCTGATCTAACTTTGAAACTTTCGCTTGTATCTCACGCCATGATCTTTTCTTATCTGACAGCTAAGAATTTTTCTTTATGTCTTCATTACTTACAACGCGACGATTTTGCTTTCAAAAAAATGCTACATTTATTTCCAAATTTTGTCATGTCTACGAGAGTCAGTCAAAGTTCGATTTTTCCGATTGACGTTCTAAACATTCCAATCGGTTAGTTGGAGTCGACCTGTGACCCGACGGGACTGCAATTTGAAAAATTTGTAGACCTATAAATTTCCGCTGTCTTAATCTCGAGAACGGAGTTAGATGAAATCCGAAACCAGATATGGAAACCTTAGGGTCAGGAGACCCCAATTAACTATATACGCACATCCGATGCAAACCAGAAGTCACGTTTTTTCAATTCAAAACCCCCTGTCCGAATGCAGTTAATAGATGATCGGCACAACTTTATTGTTAAAGGAAAAGTATGATGTACAGGGGCAAGCCACCACTTTGAGGCAGAGAGCATATATTTTAAGTTTTTAACTGAAAAGACGTGAACATCCTTGCTCAGAAATTCCTGAATAGTTTATAATGGGACGTACAGTACAGTATAAAAAATAAATAGGTATACATTTACAGAAAATTATATTTCTTATTGACTATACATACACAGATGAGTCTTAGTCCATTTTTTGTTCCTTCACACGCTGTACGATGCAATAACAATTCCATCGGCGAAGTCGACCTTTCTTTGTAGGCTACCATTCGCCGCAAAAACTGTAAAATAGTTACAGAAGTCCTCTAGCTGCAGCACAGCTAAATGTCATATTTGTTATGGCAATTTTTTTTATTAAATGTAATTATTAATTTTAATTTTACATTTTTTTGCGGCGAATGGTAGCCTACAAAGAAAGGTCGACTTCGCCGATGGAATTGTTATTGCATCGTACAGCGTGTGAAGAAACAAAAAATGGACTAAGACTCATCTGTGTATGTATAGTCAATAAGAAATATAATTTTCTGTAAATGTCATATTTGTCCTGGCAATTTTTTATTAAACAAATAGGTAGGCTTATCGAACTGAGCCTTAAAGAAAGGTCAAGTGACTCCAAAATTTTGTCTCTAATTGTTTCTTGTCTCGTCCTCTCGAGATGAGAATGTATATGTTATCCACCGTTTGTTCATATATATCAGTGTTTTTCAACCTGTGGGTCGCAAAGCCATACACGGGGGTCGCAAGTAAAAGACAAGTGTTTGTAGGTCCTACACTACAATAAAAAAAAACAATTTCAGTGAGAAGGCTGTCCTGTTTATTTTACAGTACAATTAGTTTTTTGATCGATATTTAAATCTCAACAGAAAGAAAATTAAATACGTAGTTTTTAAAATTACTGATATAGTTTTAGAGCCTGTACACACTAGGCGTTTTTCAACGCGGCTTGGCGTTTGAGTGTGTACGCTTAGGTAGAACTCTTGGTTCTTTAAAACACGCGTTTAAAAGCGCGCGTTGAAAAACGCCTAGTGTGTACACAGCCTTAGTATGGCCGTGGGGGTCGCCAAAATTTTTTAACTTGTAAAGGGGTCACGTATTCAAGAAGGTTGAAAAACACTGATCTATACTATACAGGTCTGAATTCATTTAGATATAGTATAGCTGTAGCTGTAAGTGTCTGATATTGTCATTCTGTTAAGGTGGATTCAAGCAGACAACAAAATTAAGGCAACATTGAAAGCTGATTGGTGGCAGTTGTTGTTGACATTCAATCTTGACAATTAAAATGGGTAAACCGGTCATTAATTCAACATTTTCTTAATTATGCTGACTTTATTTATCTGATCTTAGATACTTGAAATGACTGTTTACTTTTTAAATTACTTTCATTTGCTTTCAAATTTTTTGATGTTGCACAGGTAGCTCATATGCACCTGGCAGTTCTGATCTCACACTTGCACTGTCATGCCATCAACTATAACCTGCAAACCTCTACACAAACGCCATGAGGTGGCACATTATGCCAGAACAGAGTGCCAAATGGAATACATTTTGGCTGGGAGGTATAGGTAGACAAACAGCCTATACAACCATGATATAGGAACCAACATTAAAAACAGTAAATGAACCAAATGTGCATATCTCTCTCTCCAATGTTTTTGTATTGTAACTTACTGTACTTATATATAAATAGAACCTTATTTTTTTGACTTATTCTTATAGGTTAAAATGTCTTCTTCATATTTTGTATGTATATTATATATGAATTCCTAAAATAAGTCTTTTTTCAAATTAATCTAACTATTTTTTTTTTAATTTTCAATAGGCCTTTCATTAAACTTAACATAATCAAGTGACTAAAATGATTTATTTAAAAAAAACAGTTAACTAATTAATTTAATCAGTACTTTTTAAATTTTAAATAGATTCATTAAACTATTAAAAGTAATACTAGTGGTAGTTTGTCAAAAAATGTTACTTTTCTATAATTAATTTATACCAAATAATTATCTTTTTATAATTAATATTAAGAATTATCTAAATTTTTTAAAGAAAATGCAGAAAAGTCTATAAAAGTTTATAGTCATGGAATGAATAGCAGAGAAATAACTTTTCGACTTCAAAGCAAATGATCAAAATGATCTCTCAGGCAAAATTAAATATTTTACTTTAATGAAGAAATTTGTTAATTGTTTATTAATAAATTTTTATAAAAAACAAAGGAATTTTAAATATTCCTCTGAGAAATATATATTTCAAAATTCTGAGGAATCAGTAATTCCTAACAAATATAACAAAATAATTTCTTTGAGCACTAAAATGAAATCTTTTCATAGCATCAAATACATTAAAATATCAATTAATATTAAGATTTCATTTTAGACGGTAATATAAAAAATACTAATTATTTTTTTATTATTTGTTTCTGTCAATCAGTTAGTATTTGGTTAATTAATAATTTTATTATTATATGCAATTGGTCAAATTTTTTATAATTTAAAAACATTTTATTAATATTTGAAATTAACAGTTTGAATAGTTTCATTATAAGAATTACTTTTGTTAATAATCAATTGTTATTCTTCAATGAATTCTAGTACTATTAACCTTAATTAGGGTTACTTATATCATGAAATAATCATCTATGTTTGTATTAACTAATATTTACATAAGGTCAATATGTGCTTTACACTTTTATAAAAAAATTTGACATTGATTTGTTTTATAGAAACATATAGATTCCATCAAATTTAACAAGATCAACAGTCAAAAATAATCTCTGTCATATTGCAACTACTCTGGAAATTAAGAAAAATGACAATTGAAACAAAATTTTTCTCATCAGATTTATCCAAATAGTTGAGTTTAATATACTGTAATTTTAACATTAAGACAGCTGAATCATATCAATGAAATTTAACGACAGCTAATATTTATTTAAATTAATTATTAATTTTTAAATATACTTATTATTTTATATATTTTAAATGAAACTAAATGAAATATTTTCACATTTCCAAATAGTTTTTTTTAAATTTCTTTTGCATTCACTAAAAAAACATATTAATAATTTTAGTTATAAGTTTTAAATGAAATTGTAAACATATAGTGTAAACTAAACAAAAATCAACCCCTTGCAGTCTTTAGATCCCCAACTGAGAGGTATCTGAAGCAGAAGGATGTTCAAAAACATTTTATCCTTTTATACCTTAGTTCCTACAATCCTGCATGCACTTGATTTCTGTTCAATTTAATTTTGAGTTATATACAAGCAAATTCATTTAATGTAAATAATGCATTCATAACTATTAACCTATATATGAAATTATAAATGAAAAACTGTATAAAGTATGATTGTAAAACACAAACCATCTCTTATAAAATGTAGAAATTTATATTCTGAAATATGTAAAAACTTAAATTATAAATTAATACCCACATTTCATATTATATTGAATCTTCATATAATTAAGTGCATAAAATTGCCAGAATTAAGAATTTTCATTTTCTACATGTAGGAGCACTAGGACAAACTTACTTCCAATTGAGATCTTCAAGATTATACTTTATAAAATATAATTTCTCAAACTGTTTAATACTTAAGAAACGTTTGTAGCATGGATGGATGTAAATTATATCCATGTGTATATTATTTTATATAATTTCAAACTATCATTTCTGAATATGCATATATTTATGGTTCTCAAAATTTCATTTCAAATATTTATGAAATTTCTAATTTTTCATATTCAAAGTATAGGTTTATAAAGAAACCTTTAAGTATTTTAGTTTTCAAGTGCTATCATTTTAAAATCCTGTTAAAAAATGCACTCTTGCAGACAATATTGCTTTTGAAATATAATTAAATTTCAACAACAGGTAATACAGAGGTTTATAAATTTCGAATTGGTCAATTTGATATTTATAAACCTCCTGTAATATTTTACAGCCATATATTTAATTGAAAAGTTTTGAATTAATATTTTAAATTTGGGAAGGTAAACTGCATGACAGCTTTTCATCAAGCAGTCTGACAGTTCAAAAACAGTCAGGTAGTAAATCTATTGTTTTAATAATTATAATCATTTGTTAAATTTTTTTTATGATAATAAATTAGACCAACTAAAAAATATATATAAATCAATTTATTAATCAAAAACTTTTCTATATAAATGATTTTTGAATAATGACAGTTTATTATACTTTAACAATTTCAATTGTTTATATATAATTTTGTAAAAAAATAATGTGTTCTTTGAAATGAAATCTATCTCATATATTGTTATATGATGTATTTCATTTCTTTATGACTACTTTGTTCTAAACAAAGGATATTTTAAACTTTCATCAAAATCTTCAAGTTTTGTAGTTTTTATAAATAAACAGTAATACTTTTTTGAATTGATTTTCTACATAATGGACATTTGTTTGAATGCCCTCTTTGTAAATTCGAATGGCATTCCTCACAAATACAAAGATGACGACAAGGTAACAATATAACGTTCTTTGACTTTACTTGGCAAACAACACACAACTGTTTATCTCGCTCTTTATCTAATTCAGTTCGAAATAATTCTGCCATCATTTCAGCTTCCTCTTCACTGCTATCATCATCAAAAGATAAAACATTTCTTTTTTTACCAAATCTATCAGATTTCAATGATTTCCTCCTTAAATTTTTAAATTTATTTTTAAAATTATTTATATCATTTCTAGTTTCATTCTGATTACCTATTGTAAAATTGCCTCCACTAAATCCTCCATTATCAGTTGGCAGCATATGATTAAATCCTTGTTGCACATTTATATTATAATTAAAAACTGGAGAAAATAACTGACGAAAATAGTGATAAAAATTTCTAATTGGAAAATGAAATAAAATATGGATTCTTTGAGGCAACATAGTAATGTATCGCACCAAATCATATTTCCACACCACCATTCCTCCAGCATAAAGCACAAATAGTATAAACGTTCCCAAGTATATATCTGTTGGAATTTCTTGTATAAACTTTACAGTAGATTTCACTAATTGTCCAACTGAGCAGTAAATACTTTTAAAAGCACATAAAATTATATTAGTAAAATAATTTATGGCACTTAAACATAACGAGAAACTATGTCTGTATAGTGATACACAAAATATTGGCAGAGATTTTATAAAAAGACCAATTGAAGAAAATATAAGAACAATAACTGATTTTAACATGTCAAACAAAATAAAAACATAAATGAACAAACTCTTAAATGCTGCAAAAACAAATGAAAATATAATGAAGATAATATTAAACATCATCTCCAAAGAAATATTAATAGTTATTATTATATTATTTATACCATGTAATATAGTTTGAAATATGAGAATTAATGCATGAGATAATTCTATGGCAAACTGCATAAAATTTTGTAAAATAAGTAGAAAAATCTTGATAACTGACATAAGGTAATCTGCAATACTATGGCATATAAAAGCAATAGTTTTAACAATCATATCTACAATCTCTGTATTCTTTTGTAGAATAAATATAATTAAATTCGCAACAGCTTCCAATGAAGACAGAAAAATTCTAAGAACCGAAAGTAAACTCATTATTTCTCCCAACTTATTCAAAAAGTTTCCACGGTATGTTCTTATTCTTTCAAATTCTGTCCCTAAATATATAAAATTATTATATGAAACAAGAGACGAATCAAATAATTCTCAACATGAAATTACACCGATACCTGACTTCAACAATTTAAATTCAGCTTCACACAAGCATCTTCCGAACGTAAACAATAATTCAAAAACTGAAATAAGTGTTGCCAGATAACAAAATAATCCTAATCAGTATTTATTTATTTACAATTTTCTAAATGATAAAATAATTTTAAAACATTTTAAATAAATAATAAAATTATATTGTATAATATAAGCAATTTATTATGATTTCTAGCACAGCTTGATTTTTATTTCTGTGTCGTCTCCCACAAGATGGCCGGGATTCCAGATAAAAAAAAAGACAAGACATTACACTTGTCCTTGCGCTATGCTTTAAAGTAGTTAGATTAGGCCTACACTTACGATCTCTAGTCGCGGGATTTTTCAGTCGCAAAAATAAAACTCATTGTTTCCAATACAAGTGCATACATTTGCGACTAAACAATCTCAGCGATTAAAAAATTGCAACCGGTTCTATTTTTGCTGCAATGCGACTGTCGCTTTACTCAATGAATCACACAGACAGGATTGTCTAGTCGCAATTTTGAAGCACTCTACAGTCTTGTTCTGGTTTCTGTTTAAAACATTGCTAATACTTGTTTAAAATATTTGACAACGAATCTATCGGAGGGGATGATGGACGAGTATTAACAATGTATAATACTGAAAAAACTTTGCAGGGTGCTCACATAAATCTTCAAATAACTTGTAAAACTGCCCTCTCAATAATCTTTGACTTATCATTGTACCCAATAACGGTAATTCCGCCGTTTACTTCTTGCCGAAGGAAAAGAGCGATCACACAAGTAGTTTCAATGACATCCATTGCAAAACTGTTCTAATTCAACGATTTATCTATTACAGTGTGTGGACCTTGTAGATTTTTCTGTGGCAGCGATTAATTGGTAGCCGAGACTAGAAATCGCAAATGAAGGCTTAGCCTTTATGTCAACAGCGGATCAAGTGGGAACCCCAAGCGGTAAAAATTTTGGGGTCCTCAAACTCAAGTTAGAAAAAAATAGTTTCAAGGAATAGACAATGAAACAAAGAGTAAGGAAAGGAAATTAAACTAAATTAATATTAACAAATATGCAAAATATGGCGTACGGCTACACCTGCAACACAAACAGCTGACTTCGGGGACCTAAGCGGTTGCTTAGTCCGCTTACCGCTTAATCCACCACTGATTAATGTGTCAGGTTGCGATAGCTGGCGTTAGAGTCACACTAGGGCTAGAAGTTAGTTTATCTGTTTAGTAGGTAGATAGTTTTACCGTTTTCAAGCATTTTTGTAACTTTTTTACTGTTCTGTCAAAAAAATCTTATTTGTAATTACATTTTTTAATTTTATATAATGTATAAAGAAACAAAAAGTATATTTGGTTTATAAAAAAACTAATAACATGATAATTTTAAATTACAGGTGAGGATGTGGAAAATAAAATTATTTTCGACTTAGTTTATTCAGATTTTAAATAGAGATCTGTTTAAAACTGTTATATTGCTATATATTCTGAATGAAAGTTTTGTGTGTACAGTTATACTCAGAACATAATGTTCTGAGTATAACTGTAAGAACGCCGATTGGGGGGGGGATTTTATTCCCTACCGTCGGGATAGCTCTAAGGTCTACGCGTATGTGGGTGGCGGTTTTAAGAGGCAGCAAAAGACAAGTGTTTCACAGAGAAACCGGTTATTCTTGATCGAAAATGCTTAAATAAATTTTTTCTAATTCAAACACAAATTATTTATTGTATTTATACAGACACCTGGCAAATCACAGAATTAAATTTTATTCAGTTGATACGTGTTTCTCTCGTTTATACACGTTACTACTACAGATCATACAGACGAAGAAGTAGAGGAAGCATATCAGCAAATAAACCAATTAGGGATTGCAATTGCTGGATCCCTCATCCAGCAATCCAGCTGGATCCAGCACATTTTTCGGCCTGCTGGATCCAGCACCTGGTGCTGGATCCAGCGCTGCGGATCCGCAAATACTCAATTAACTTTCTAAATAATGGTGCAAAAGTCTACGTTGTCAGCGTTGCCGCTTTGCTAAGTGCGCTATCGCTCGGCGGCGAGAGCGACGTTGCCATTCAGTGCAGCACGTGCTACACTCCCTCTCCACACCGCACCANAATACCTTTAAGTACCTGGGGTCAACTATGGCTGAGGATGGAAGTGTGGATAAGGAGGTGACAGGCAGGATTCAGGCTGGTTGGCGGAATTGGAGGGATATGTCAGGAGTGTTGTGTGATAAGAGGGTGCCACTTAGGTTGAAAGGGAAAGTTTATCGGATGGTGGTGAGACCAGCTATGCTGTACGCTATTGAGACTGTGAGCTTAAGGAAAACCCATGTCAAAAGGATGGAGGTGGCGGAGATGAGGATGCTCCGTTGGATGTGTGGGGTTACGAGACGGGATCACATTCGAAATGTGTGAGGGGGACAGTGAAAGTTGTGAGCATAGAAGCAAAGATACAGGAAGCGAGGTTGAAGTGGTTTGGTCATGTGGTACGGAGGGAAGAAGGGTATGTGGGAAGAAGGGTTATGCAGATGAGAGTGAGGAGGAGGAGGCGGCGGGGACGGCCGCGGAAAAGGTGGATGGATCTTGTGGAGGAGGACTTGAGAGAAAAGCATCTGAATGTGGAGGCAGCCCAGGACAGGGAGCAGTGGAGACGACTCATCAGAAACAGCGACCCTACATAGTGTGGGAAAAGCTGAAGAAGAAGAAGAAGATTTATAGTTAATTATCTCTATCTCAAGTGTTAAACCGAACCAAAGTTAAGTTTACTACCTAAATGTGTAAGACGTTTTACTGATTTAAAGTGAACAGTCTAAATAATAAAAAAGGTTTTTAAGTATTTAAAAAAATGTTTTATTTCTTTAAAAAAACCATAAAATGCTAAATAGATAGATAGATAACACTTTATTGCACCAAAAATACATCTGCGCTGGATCCGCGCTGGATCCAGCTGGATTGATGTTGGTCCAGCAAAAATCCAGCTGGATTGAAAACACTGCTGGATTGCAATCCCTAATGCCCATACAGCTGTAGAGTGAATGGTGTGAGCTGCGTAATTACTCCGTGGAATGATGGGTTGTTAATTCGTTTAAAGAATTAGTGATGTTTAAGTGAATGAAACTGTGTTGTAATAAACAGGAAAATATTTAGGAAAAGTTTTGCTAGGAAAATTTAAAAAATAGAATTTTAAAGGTCTATTCCGAAAATGTTGAAAGAAACATATGGATATATTAAACTATAAACATAAAAAAATAACGTCTGCTAAGGAGGAACGTTAACCCAAAATGCTCGATTGTAGTGGCATATAAAATCTTACATGTACAGAAATTCTTGCATGTACGTACAGTAAATATATTTTAGTTGGAAATTGTGTTTTTCTTCTCTCAATATAACAAATCCAAGTACAGAAGGACGTCCAAGGTGGAAAAGTATATTGTAACTAGCTGTTACCAGCGGCTTTGCCCGCGCGGATTTTGCAAGCAAACCCCATTTATATTCAGTATTTCAACAATCATAGTAATTGTTATATAACACCCACCACTGAGAATGATGAAAATTTCCGACAATCAAACGAACTGTTTTCAATTTGATCAATTTTCTGGAACGTTTACAATCGTTCTATAATCGAACCAATATACAATAACAAATTTGAATTTAAAACGGTCCGAATATTTTTAAAATCGAAATACATAAAAATATTTATAACAATGTCTGAAATGTTATCAATTTAATACACCTAAGTAGTCGACGAAGACTAAATCATCTCCCTCTCCCGCCCGCGGGGGAATTTCGAAAAATCCCTTCTTAGTGTNATTTTAGTTATAAGTTTTAAATGAAATTGTAAACATATAGTGTAAACTAAACAAAAATCAACCCCTTGCAGTCTTTAGATCCCCAACTGAGAGGTATCTGAAGCGGAAGGATGTTCAAAAACATTTTATCCTTTTATACCTTAGTTCCTACAATCCTGCATGCACTTGATTTCTGTTCAATTTAATTTTGAGTTATATACAAGCAAATTCATTTAATGTAAATAATGCATTCATAACTATTAACCTATATATGAAATTATAAATGAAAAACTGTATAAAGTATGATTGTAAAACACAAACCATCTCTTATAAAATGTAGAAATTTATATTCTGAAATATGTAAAAACTTAAATTATAAATTAATACCCACATTTCATATTATATTGAATCTTCATATAATTAAGTGCATAAAATTGCCAGAATTAAGAATTTTCATTTTCTACATGTAGGAGCACTAGGACAAACTTACTTCCAATTGAGATCTTCAAGATTATACTTTATAAAATATAATTTCTCAAACTGTTTAATACTTAAGAAACGTTTGTAGCATGGATGGATGTAAATTATATCCATGTGTATATTATTTTATATAATTTCAAACTATCATTTCTGAATATGCATATATTTATGGTTCTCAAAATTTCATTTCAAATATTTATGAAATTTCTAATTTTTCATATTCAAAGTATAGGTTTATAAAGAAACCTTTAAGTATTTTAGTTTTCAAGTGCTATCATTTTAAAATCCTGTTAAAAAATGCACTCTTGCAGACAATATTGCTTTTGAAATATAATTAAATTTCAACAACAGGTAATACAGAGGTTTATAAATTTCGAATTGGTCAATTTGATATTTATAAACCTCCTGTAATATTTTACAGCCATATATTTAATTGAAAAGTTTTGAATTAATATTTTAAATTTGGGAAGGTAAACTGCATGACAGCTTTTCATCAAGCAGTCTGACAGTTCAAAAACAGTCAGGTAGTAAATCTATTGTTTTAATAATTATAATCATTTGTTAAATTTTTTTTATGATAATAAATTAGACCAACTAAAAAATATATATAAATCAATTTATTAATCAAAAACTTTTCTATATAAATGATTTTTGAATAATGACAGTTTATTATACTTTAACAATTTCAATTGTTTATATATAATTTTGTAAAAAAATAATGTGTTCTTTGAAATGAAATCTATCTCATATATTGTTATATGATGTATTTCATTTCTTTATGACTACTTTGTTCTAAACAAAGGATATTTTA